ACAATTACACCTAAGTTCTTTGGCTTGAAGGGATCTTTTATGCTTGAACTTCAAGTTGAGTATAAAATATTCTCATGGTGAAGTCTTGCTATGGTTTCTCCATGGAATTATGCATGTCATGACAAACTTATAGCTGAGCAAGACTGCAGCATGATAATTACACCTATGTTCTTTGGCTTGAAGGGTGTCTTTATGTGTGAACTTCTAGTGAGTTAAATATTCTCATGCTGAAGTCTTGTTCCTATTTTACTCTCATTTGTTACTTCATACTTGACAATATGCCATTTTGGCTCATGAGATACTTCACTACTTTTTTATTTGTACAAGTTACTTTTGCATTGAACATTAGTAATTTGCTTGCTTTAGTCTCTGATGGAGAGTTTGCTTACTGGTTATTCAGGCAAGAGACCATTCAGACTTTATCTGCCGCATGAAGGATTATATATCTCGGCAAGAATTCATAAATAGAACCATATCTTCACTTGACAACCACTTTTCTGTGACTTCTCTGGAGCTTAAATCATATGACTGTCCTGATGACACGAAATTTATGCCCTCCTCTAGACTGCTGGGAAAACAAGAACTGGAGGAAAGTTTTGAGTCTGAATCTGGGAATATCATACTTCAGTCACTGTAACTGCTACAAGATAAGAAGACCTTCGCGTGAGGTGCTACTGTATGTCAATGTACCTTAATTGGTTATTCGTGGAGGAATAATTTTCCCTTTTTCCATGAGAGTATTTTTGTTGGATTGGGCTCCTAATCTGGTTGTGGTTGCCTACCTCCAACTCATTCATGTTGCTACTTCCTCGGATAAAAATACTAAGAGGAAGTGCTACCTTTTACCATTGTGCGTTACAGGGGGCATAATTAAGCTAATGAATTTTCTTGGAAAGAACTTATTCCCAAAAGAAGTTAAGAAGATGTAATGAAATTAAGACATTTCAGACAACAGAATGAGGGAAGAAATAGGAAAATGATGGAGTTTGAAGGAAGCTGATGGGAATCAGTATACCAAATGACAGTCTAGCAGATGTATTAGTGAATCGTGGTTGGATTAATTATATGAAATGACGAGTGGAAAGAATGTAATGGTGGTGAAGACTGTTTAGAAGGAGTGTTGAGAGTAAGCTTGGGCTGCTCTGTATCCTCCTAAACAAATCATGGAATTCGGTCTAATTCCCTGCTACATCTTTCCATAATTTTCTGAGTGAAGCCTTAATATCATATATTTTAGCTTTTCTACTTAGCAAAACTACAACGTGGTTGGGGAGTACAAACTACACTCATTTACTCGTATTTTTGTGTCAACAATGGCTTCATTCACAATCACTGAAGCGGTATTCTATCTTTATGATGGAAGGTTCTTTGTTGACTTTCATGCAGATCATTTGATCAGATACAAACCGGAAAGGTTGAAATTATGAGGTTGTAATTAATATGTCTTTGTGCTGCAGGGTGTGTATGTTTTCCAGTATACTCAAATATCTATGATCCTTTTCTCAAGTGAATCAAGTACTTTTTCCATCACAAGTAAACCTAGTTGTTTGACAGTAAAGAGACACTACAGCAAATTACATTTCCAATGGCTAAATAACTCTATTACTAATGAAGAAACCCGGGATTATAGATATCCACAATGATTACCAAACTACTTCCACACTTTGTTTAAAATCTTACAATTCTTTCCTTTCATGATGTTAAGAAATTACTTTTGAAAAAATATCTTGTGCTTCTAACGTTTCTTACACTTAACTGAAGTCTTAAATCAATTAGCCAGTTAGGTGCCACATTCTTTTTAATGAAATATCTGGCTGCAGAGGAAGACTACTACTAAATCAAGCATCCTCATCTCATAATGTTTTTTTTTTCTTTTTACCGATCTGCAGTAATTGATATTCTTGCTAGACGGTTCTTCTTTTGGTTATCATAGAATTTTGAATGTTAAATTATGCATATCTGGTTTCTCTCATCATTGGAATCTTAGCCTGTTCAGCATTGTCCGTTAAGTGATTTTCTTTGAAGTTATTACCCGAGATATAACAGATAATTTCAGGTGATGTGAATCTTGTGACTCCAAAACTGCTTTGTTTGTTTCGTTCTGATATAGACTACAAATTACCTAGGGAAATTTAAGTGCTCTGTTGTTGTGATCTTAACTGTGCTTATATATATATATATATATATATATATATATATATATATATATATATATATTTGGTTCAACATTTACCGTAAAAGTACTTCTTTCACAAAGTTGTGTCTCCTGCACTAATGGTAGCTAACCTTTTACCTCATCTGCCCCTGACTTTGGAAGTATAAATAAGTAATCAAGCTCAAGATTTTCAGGGAATACAAAAAAAAAAGTGTCCAAAAGAGGGGCGGAGCCCCAGTAAGGGAACACAAAAGAAAAAAGAAGAGTCCAAAAGAGGGGTAGAGCCACATTATTAGTTACAGGTTACAAATTTTATAACTTTTTCTTATGTATTTATACTAGGAATTCTTTAATATATAAAATACATAAGTTACCCCCTGAATTTTGGACCAAATCCCCGTTACACACTTTCTGATCCTGAAAATCACCACACACTCAACCTTTCCGGAGTGTGTCTAACACACACCTCTTTGCCCACGTGGCTAGCGCGTGTTTTACAAACAAAATGAGGCATCTGCACAGTAAGAAATTATGTCTGATATTTTATTTAAACGGTTCAGATTTCGTGAAATTTATCCAATGATTACAATAAAATTTCTTTCTTTCTTTCCTTTTTTTAGTTTCTTTCTTTTTATTTTTCTAAACTAATCCACCACCTACCCGTCGAGAGCCCATCCAGACCTCTCCATCGTCCACCACTGATGCTCCACAACTTCTCCACCATCCTAAAATCAATCAATACTCACATGTCGAAAAATTACCATACCTTCACCATTGAAGCACCTTTTTCTCTTCTCTTCCTTTTTTCCCTTACACCTGTTGGGGGCAACCATGAAGGAACGCACTTACCATTATATACCATTGGAGAGGGTTGTAGGTTTGCTTAAGAAGAACCAATATTCTAGTACACTTAATTATTTTTGGCGTTTGGATCAAATTTTAATAAGTTTTTTGCAAAAGATTCCAAGATTTGGTACTGGAATTTTGTATCTCGAAAATATTTAGAAATTAGAAGCTAGGAGAATTTGATTGGGGCTTCTAGTTTTTGTTTGAATTGGACGGTAGAGGTCTAGTTGTTGTCGCGCGAGAGAGATAAGTTGCTGGCGAAGAGAAAGAGATGCAAGGGGAAGATGGTAAAGGGTATAATTGTAATTTTACATATTTTAATTTTTTTTAAAAGAATAATAACACGTGTCACAATCTTATTAGTACGTGACTTTATACATTTTGAAAAATTGGTCAAGAAAAAAAAGGTGTGTATTAGACACACTCTGAAAAGGTTGAGTGTGTAAGATGATTTTCGTGGTCAGAAAGTGTGTAACAGGGATTTTTTTTTAAACCGTGGTTTCCGGGCATCGCTTTGCGAACCCGACTAGCTGTACCCACCGGGTCCCGCTGTTTCAATACGGGTGCACGGTTAGTTCCACGGGGCCTTGGAGACGCGGCCGGTTTGTAATGCCTCCAGTGGCCCTGCGGGGGCTCGAACTGGCGACCTAAAGGACTTTGTCCTTGGACCTTTACCAGCTGAGCTACCCCTCAGGGTTGTGTAACAGGGATTTGGTCCATAGTTCAGGGGGTAACTTATGTATTTTGCCCCATATATATATATATATATATATAATTACGAATCTTATAACTAAAGCGAATTATGACAATTTCAAAACCAATAAACTTTAAAATCTAACTGGCGTCTCATTCAAAGGGAATCAGTTAGTAGTAGTATTCAAAAAAAAAAAAAATCCTGAAAACTTTCCAAAGAATGGAATCAAAGAAAGTCAGCAATATGAAAACTCTTCTTCGTTTATGCTTAAAATATACATACAAGTAGCAGCCAGTACTGTAGCTCAACGGCTGCTATTTGTATTATTCTCTTTATTTTATTTCATTTTATATAGAGCTAGAGTATAGCTTACCCAAACCTTATAGTTTTAGTTCAAACTGGAAACAAATTAGCTATAACTTAGAAACAAACTGATAACTTAGAAATAAATTGATTTAGCACGATCATACATAGAATCAAGCGAAGCTACTAGTCGCGGACTAATAGAGGTGAACGAAACATGACAACGATAAACACAAATAGCTTCAACGAAGAAAAACCAGTTCAACTGTTATAGTTTATTCTAATACTCAAATTAATTTTGAACATGTAAAAGCAATCAATTAGTTAAAATTGCAAATTGATAAAGGTTTCGTACCTTATAACAATGAAATTTCTAACCACAGGCATTTTGAATTCAAACAGTACATGGTACAGCTGATTCAGTCCACAGGGAAATATGTGGGTCTATCTTATGAAGATCCGCAGAGGCACATTCAAAATTTCTTGGAAATTACGGATACCTACAATTATCCGAACGTTTCCAAGGACTATGTCAGGTTGACACTTTTTCCCCTTTCACTGCTGGGGGAAGCTAAGGAATGGTTGCAAAAGGAGCCCGCGAACTCAATCCACACTTGGGATGATCTAGCAAGGAAATTCTTAATCAAGTTTTTCTCCACTAAGAAGACAAAGTCATTGAGGAGTTAGATTCTTGGGTTCGAACAACGGGAT